CCTATAGAGTGACAGCACTGATTTGACACAGGGTTGGAAAAACACTCACCTGCCCAGACTGATCAACTAATACTGCTGTCAAATAATTAGCCATCAAATTTCAGGTTTTGATGAGGATTTGAAGTCCAAATACCTATTATCACTGAGAAAGTATTGCATTTTCTCAGTTCTCAGATCTGTAAGAGGCCATGCCACTTAATATCTTCTAGTAATTTGGTTTAAACAGTAGAGATCAGTATTGTATACTATCACAATAGTCCTGGTTTATGTTTATAGCCTGTCACAGGTAACTCACACACCTAATTCTCTGTTGTTCTTTTAACAACCCTGCTAGAACTTCAGCAGACTAAGAAAGTCAGCCTTCAAAAGAAGGCTAATAAGGTGGATAATTCCATTATATGGTCTAAATTTGCAGATGTTATGTATATTCCTATTGGTGAAAACAGAAGATTCCCATTTACACAGTCAAGTCACAGATTATCTTTCAATCAGTTTACATCTTACATGGAGGTCCAGTACCTTTTGAAAAGAGTCTTCATCTGTTATATCATATACTAGAATAGCGCCATTAGAATCCCTGTAGTAGATCGGCCCCAATGCATGAAATCTTTCTTGACCAGCTGTATCCTGCATTTAAAATACACTTGTTAGCATTTAAGACAAAGCAAGCAATACTTCAAGAAACACCAAATACTTTGAAATTCTACTTTATTTACAAGTGCCTAACATTTGAGTTCTAGTAAATCTAAGGAATTTTTCAGGAAAATATTCTATTTAGCTATGGGAGGGAAAATGGGGAAGTAAACATACCCATATTGCAAGGTTTACTCTTTTCCCACCAATATTTAGCTTCTTTGTAAGAAAAGATGCCTGGAAAGCAAAACAGATTAGAGTTAAGTTTTACACAAAAATGTCTCATTTGACTTCAGATTAATCTACTAATAAAAACATCTGAATCAATAAAAGACAGATTTCTGGCTCAAGATACTCGTTAAGCCCGAAAGCTGAGTCAATACTAAGCCAGTTAGTCATTTCACTGCAGTTTGCCAGGAGTATACACTAAATAAATTGGCTTAAGCCAATCTTTTACTACATCTTCTTGCTGTTTTGAATTATTTGGGAAAGATAAAAGGGTTGCGTGGAAAGAACCTGAATTCACAACACTGATAAATCTAAACTGAACTTGAAGCATTTCACAAGAGTTTGTGAAGTCTGGGTAGAAACCAGCCTAACAGGATTTTTAATTTGCAGGAATTAGCAGAGCAGTTCAACTGTTAGTGAGCTACTAGAACAAAATAAAATAGTGTCTTGCTAGAAGTCTCAGAACACTACCATTCTGCAAGTTTCCTTGTCTGTATCTTTTCCCATTTTTTTGACGAAGTGAGCCCACAACTCTCCCCATGGGGCTTTTTTGGGGTAGTGGTGTGGTTTTGTTTTGTTTTTTTGTTTTGTCAGGTTTTTTTACCCCCAGACACTGTTCCTGAAAGCTCAGTGATATACTTCTCAGCTAACACACAAAAGGAAAGGAAGTGGCAGGGTAAGAAAAGCCTCAGAATAAGTATACAAGCCACTGTAACAAATTCCACTACTTAAGCTTCTGAAAATATTTTACAGGACCAGAGCATATTACAAGGTTAGTCTAATTTCAGTAACTCAAGAGTATGCCCATTCTCCAAGCCTCCATGATCCATAATTTCAAATATCACCTCCATTACCCAGTGTATAATTCAGTGACTAAAAGGGGTATAAAATTTAATAAAAGTTTAACAGGCTAGAACAGGGTCTGAAGGGGCTGATACTCCCCTAATTCTAAAGACTAGCAGTAACTGGTTAACACCAGATGACTCTGTTGCCAAAGGTTAACTTTTGTCTTTTTCCTTAAATTATACTCAGTTTTCCTTTCAGCTTTGCCTCAACTTGCGTTCAGATACCAAAAAGTGGTATCTTATGATATGTTCAGATTATTTTAGGCTGGACTGTAGCCTCAGGTTCTTTGTGTGAGCATTGACTAGGCATCGGACTGACTAAAAGTCATGTGTACACGCAGAGTGTCATGGGTCAGATCAGCTGTTTGAACCAGCTTGCTGCTTAACTGCATTAGCAACCAGTATGCACAGAGGAGACCACGGTAGTTCAATTTACACCCACCTGAACTGCTGTGAAAGTGCCTCTCTGGGGCACTGCCTGTATTGCAATTAAAACCATCCAACACTCAGCTGCTGAAGCAGCTCCTGCTCTTCAGCTACTTCCTAGCATGAACTCTGGCATTTGTATAACCTAAGGTGAGATGATTCAAGAAACTTTTCTTCTTTTTTTTGAATTAAGTTGTACCTTTCCCCAAAGTCTGATAAACAGGGCAGAAGACAGACCACAGGAAAGAAAAACACTCAAACTTTCCAAGAGGAGATAGCAAAGAACCAATCATTATGACCATTGTATTTAACATAGCTAAAGCGTTAATGCTACCTCTTCAGTCTACAGCGAGGTGGCACAAGTCAATTTCAGAACCAGACAGCACCTTAGAAGTATTTAATACTGCCCAACTCATAACAAACAGTTTAACTGCAAAGTAGCAAATCTTAAACATCCAGAAAACTAATTCTTTAACCAAAAACTCTGCAGAAAGTAGTTTACAGCTTTCAGAAGTTTTAATCCATCAACACTTGGGCCATATTAAGAGAAGGAATGGTTAGGCACAATGAATCAAGCTTACCTGACAATATTTTATTGATCTACTGTACCACACTACTTGATGCTCTATTGCAAATCGCAAAGAAAAAGCTCTGTTTGCTTTTGTCACAACACTGAAAATCAAATCCGCTCAGATGATAAGGGTTTCAATCAAGTGTTTTGAGAATCACATTTCGGGACCAAAAGGCAGAAAAATCCTTCAGAAAAAACAGGATTTATATTCTAAGAGACCACAGAACTCAGTATTCATAAAGTTGTATCATCATGGCTTTAGACATTGGCCCAATTAACAGCACAGCTACCTTTACTATCTGACAGAGCAAATATTAAAGCAGGCTTATCCCCATAGAGAAGTTTTGCGTAAGTATGAGCAGTCCTTCAGGTCCCTACAGCTTCTGACAGCAATACGGTCTCTTTGCACTAACAGTGCAGTACTTCCTTTCCTATATACCCAAGTATTAGAAGTCTCATACAGTCAAGTAAGGCTTTTTAGTGTCTCCTGCCCCCCCACCCCCCAAAAAAATCAAAATCAATCAAATCAGAGGAGACTGTGGCAATTGTACTTGCTCTCTGCATTAAAACTTGACAAATTTGTACTAATTAAGTCTTAGCCTACCAAAAGTCTTAGGTCCCTGGCCGAAAACTGAGAGACAATATCCTACATCAGATATCTTGACTACAAACAAGTCTGTCTAAAAAGCTTGCCTGGTAACAAGATTGGAACCTGGTATTTGAAGTAATCATGGTTAGTAACGAGTAGAAGTCTTTATGAACATGCTGCGAGAAACAGTCAATTCTATATTACAGTTTAAATGCTTCATTCTTCTTCACTGTGTTCATATACTTGAAGAACATTGCTAGCAGGCTCTGTTCTTGAATTAATAGGTATGCGTAAGTTTAGTGTATTTACCATCAGTGCATTTTACAGCCAGAGCAGTAAACATGCCAAAGGCCAGCCAGACAATATCTACCTTTTAACATCCCCTGCCTTCAAGTTCCATTTGTCTCATGATGAGCAAAGTTACTACTTTTCACTTATTCTGAGGTTACAGATTTTAAAAAAAAATTAAAAAAAAATCAGGTGAACAGCAGGACTACACAGTTTTTAGAAGTTTGGGCGAACCCAACATGGAATGAAGAGCCTTAATCACTGTTCTGAGATAGTTCAGGGAAAAAAAGTCAGCTGCCAAGAGTGTCAATGCCTTTGAAATCAGTAGTCTAGACAGCATTAGGTAATTAATTACATGTCGAAGAGGATTCAACACTTTTTCTAATCTCCCAAGAATTTACCAAATTGAGTACTACAGATTTAAGTCCGAGTTGTGACTCGATTTACAATCAGTAACTCCTTTCCATATTATTTTCATTACTATGGCATTCATTTTTGCTAGGACTTTCAAAACCCCACAAATGCACAGGACCACAGTTAATTCAAAGATAAGTAATCTCAAAGCAGGTCTTTGAAGTGAGCTACTAATACTGGTATTTTGACAATAGAGTCTTATGACTGGTCTGAAGAATACTTATACACTTAGCAGAAAAGGATAAGGCAATTATAAGAGCTAAAATTCCATGCTCCTTATGTGACTGTAGTCACGTATCTTTTCCTTCTTTTAATTCTTTCATTTAAAGAGCTCAGTTTCACACATCCATCCGGCCCTGTTAGGAGCCGATAAGGGGTCTGAGCAGAACACAAGGAAGACCCAGCTGGAAAAGATTCTCTTAAAAGTCACTGAATAAAAGCAGGTTTATGTCACTTGCCTCTTGACTGCTTCATCTTCAACAGAGGCAAGCCAGACACATCAACACCGCATGCAGCACTGAACCCCTTGCATTGTCTTCCCCCCCCACCCCCTGCAGCTATCTTAGACAGCCAAGACAGCTTTTCCAGGTTGCGCAAGTCCACCAAAGCAATCGGGATCTGTATAGTATGATTAGCACCACATCTGTGGCTTTCTTGGGTTGGATATTTTGCAATCCTCCACACATTTGAGAGATTAGAACACAAAAGTTGTATTTATCTTGAATAATTAACTAACAAAAGTGCTTACCCATTTTTTTTTTAAATAGTTTACCAGTAGGTTTATTATTGGAGTAATCCCAGCACAGTTCACTTAAAATAATTCTAATCTATAAATTAATATAATCAAGACAAGATCACTGACCTCAGTATTTCAATCAATGGGAACTAATTCTAACTGTCCCACCAGGCCTGACAACAGGTTATGGATTATATTAATCACTTGCAAAAAAAAAAACCCTACCTTTCCTGCATCAGCTTTTCCACATTATTCTAGATAAATGTTTTGTTATGTGAATCAGTAGATAACTTACATATTGGAATTAAGGTATCGGTATCTAAAGTACATGACTTCAAGCTAACAAGCTACAGCAACACATCCCAGCAGCCTCCTAACCTCAGTGTAAGGAAGTTTCAGTTCACCATTTCCCTCTAGCTAGCATGTATGGAAGGGGGCGAGGGGAGAAAGAGAAATAGCTCCCTTTCACTAAAAACCTTCTCTTACTAGCACAAAATAAATTCTCCTATTTGAGTGTACACAACAGAGTAATACTTAAGTGTTTGAATTCATATAGGAAAGCACAGATATACAGTATAGATAAAAGATTCACACTGACCAATTTAAAGACCTCCTGTGCTCTTCCCCATCACCAGACTCACACTGCAGGAAGCATCAGTCAACATCAATAAATAAAGTTTCCAGAAGGCTACAGTCTCACCACCCTTTTTGTTGTCATCAGATTGGAATAGAGCACTACACAGTACCTTTTTTTAAATCAGAGATTACTGTGGATGGAGAGCCTGTCCTCTCAGTATCTAGTGATCTTTTCATATGATTCATCACAGTGGCTCCTTTGCTGAATGAGAAGTATTTATTTAATTTTGGCTTTATTGGAACAAAAGTAATTTGCTGCAACACTTTGAACTGATGCCATGAAACAAAGCCACCTTATCAGATTAAACCTTTAATAAAAAAACCCCAAAACAACAAAACAAAACAGGATGTCTTGCACAAATGTCACTTCATTGCTTAATCAGATGTTTTAATTTGCTAGTGGAAGAACTTAAACTTTCTTCTAGAACTTTAAGATGTACACAAACAAATAATAAAGATAATACCTCACAAGCACATATGATGTACACCAAGATCCAACAGCAA